GGACTTACCATAAGTGATGCCTCTTGATCCGAACATCTTCTTCCTTCCAGTCATTTTCAACAGTCTCTCCAGCGCTGGTGCCGATCTCTAATCCAGCGCAGACTGCTTTCTCTTCCTGTCCCATAGAGTATGCCCGGTGTGCATGCTCACAGCTGTGTGCATTGACTTACACTGTAGTTCTCCTCCTCTACCCACCAGTGATCTCCACTGCGCATGTGCCCGCACACATCCTCCTGCATGGCCGCTTGAGAAGCTGGATTTTACAGCCGGGAGCGAGCGGCGGTGGATATTGGTAATATCTGGTAACTTTTTTAGTTTTCTAAATGTTTTTGCATATATCCACTGCTTGCTAGCAGTAGATATACGTAAAAAAATAAGACTTTAATATCACTTTAAGCACAATTTTGTAACTGAATTCTAGTTTTATGATGTTTGTAATAGATGAAGTCCATGGACCTAAAATTTTGGGCAAGAAGGGGTGAGTTTTCACTGACAGTTTTGAGCAGGCTCTGGTGAACTTGACTCACACTAAGCCCATGTACATCACTAATCCAGACCTCTAATTAGCTCTGGTGGGCTTTTGCGCTTAGTCCTCGTTCAAAAGGTAAGCTGGACAAAACGCTAAAGACAAGGAATCCCATACGCTTGTCGAGTGTAAAAAAACACTCAACAAGTAATCCATTAATTTCCATGGCCCCCGTTCACACCTAGGCACGCTGTTGTTTAAAGGTAACCTGGACAAAACGCTCAAAACAAGGAATCCCATTAATTTCTATGGCCGCTGTTAACACCTGAGATTTGTCGCAAACAGAAAGATGCCTGGCGACAAAATACTCAGTTGTGAACCGGGTGCCACAATAACGAATGGGATTCCTTGTCTTGAGTGTTTTGTCGTGCTTACCTTAGAGTAGGGGCACCCACAATTGTTCGTCTGGAGATCTACTTTTCAAATGATGAGCTCAATGAGATCTACAAACATGCATTCATGGGCGGGAGGGGGCGTGGCGGTGCATTGAAGTCAATGGCACCGCAGCCAGGCCCCTCGCCCACAGTGCAATCGCCTGCACCCGGAACCCAGGCACATTAGTGCCTGCGTTCCAGTACAGTGCGATCCACAAAAATGCTGCAAGCACTGGACCGGAATGCAGGCACTTATGTGCCTACGTTCCTGGTGCGGGCGATCGCACTGTGGCCGGGGGCATGCCTGCGGTGCCATTGACAATACAACCTCCTCCCGCCCCTGAACGCAGGGAGTCGGCCGGCTTACATTCCAGTGCATCCTAAAGGCCCCAGCGTCCTGTCCTCCCGTGGTGCTTGTGTGGCCAACGTTGCACATGGGGAGAGGTGTCCCGCCCCTTTCCAGTTGCAATGTCTGCCACATTCAGCCGGCAGCCGCACGGGCACTGCGGAAGCATAGCCGTACCCAGCTCCTTTTGCGCCCGAGGCAAGAAAAAAATATGAGTGCATTTAAACTCTTGGGGGGAAATATTAGGGGTCTAAACAGCCCCCTGATATTTCCCTTTTAAAATAGAAAAAGAAAGTGTCCACAATTTCTTTTTCCGCAGCCTCTGTTCTAAATGGATGGAAAGCACAGAGGCTTCCCATTCATTCAGAAAATATTTTCCTATCATCTAGTTTCTGAATGGGGAGGAGCCTCTGTAGTGAGTGCTTTTCCCCATTGAGAAACTCATGAATGAACAGGAAGTGATGTAAATCACATCCTATTCATTCATAATTGCGGACACATAGTACTATGTGTCCCCAGTTATTTACAAACACTGGAGTGATCAGCTGATCGCTCCAGAGTTTGTCCTGCACAGAGGACCGGTACATATCGCTGATATGTACCGATCCTCTGCCGCTCGACCACGCACAGGGGGGCTCAGCTTCTCCTCTGGATCCCCCCCTGCTCTCCCAGGCAGAGGCAGCGGGGGATCCGAGGAGAAGTGAAAGAAGCGCTGCAGCCACTGGGGGGTGGAGCCGCTGTCACAGAACTAAGGCCAAGCAGTGAGGAGAGAGAGGTGCCGGCTGTCAGAACCTGGCCGAGCATCTCTCTCTCTCTCTCTCTCTCCTCAGCGCTCGGCCTCAGTTCTGCGACGGCGGCTCCCTCCTCCGCCGCGGGCTGCAGCGGCTCTTTCACTTTTCGGATCCCCGCTGCATACAGATGGGGAGAGCAGCGGGGATCCAGAGAAGCACCACAGGCGGGAGGAGATGCCATCGCGATCGACTGGTAGATTGCGATCAACCTTATGGGCACCCCTGCCTTAGAGTGTCAAAAAGCCTAGGTCTGAATTAAGCCTTGAACCACTAACTGTTAGTGACAGCCGAAGTCCTGTTCTAAGCCGAGAAGTGTGAATTGATCAGCTCCTGGGTTTGTGCTTCTGCTACCGAGAACTCCATAGGATCGCAGTTCGGGTCATTGCCACATCTATGATTAAGCCTACGGGTGAAACATGCGAGAGGTTGAAGCTGGTGGGGGTGTGCAGTGCTGGCATTTGTTGCTTTATACACTTTTATTCACTGTTTTACTGGATTTGCTTTGAATTTCAAAAAAGTCTGAAGTATTGGAATTCTCTGGATAGTGCGGTCTGTTCGTATACTACTACATTCCAAGGTGGAGACGCACCTGGGGAGTCCTGATGGTGGCTAAGGAATTTGAGCGGTGAGATTTCCTTTGGCTCTACATCGGGTCATTGCCAGTTACTGTAACAGTAAGTTGGGGTGTCATTCACAATGAATAGCACACACACAGCAGAGCATAGGTTACATTTTGCCACAACAGAAATGTCTAAAAACAAAACTTTTGTACGGCCCTTTGACATGCCACACTTGAGGCCCCCTATATTCACTGAGTTGACCACTATTCTAGTCCTATAGTAGTTAGTTGTAGTCACACAGATATAAAAAAGCCACAAATACATTTAAAAAAATACACAATGTGCTACAATGAAACTGTAAAAACTATCTAAAGCAGACATTTAAACAGACATTGGAAAGGATGTAAAGGATACAGTTATACTGTATGGCAGCCCTTATCAAGCACCAAAATTATTTGTCAAACTACATATCATGAATGCATCCAGTGTTAATTGCTGAGCTCACCAATTCCTCTATCTGCAGCACCGCAGGACCACGCCGTCACCCTCCGCACAAGGCACGATGGGATTGGTCAGTTCAGCCCTAGAAGAAGAGGACTACATTTCCCGGCAACCTCCTCGGGGGACACGGCATGTGATGTGCAGCGGGCTGAATTAGTCAACGGTGCAATGTATCGAAAGCGCCTCAAGCGGTTTGCTGAACGAATAAACAGCTGCCCGCGGCTACAGGGCCACCTATATTTGCTATGACACCCAAACAGTCTAGTTATCCTCTACAACTACTGTTACTTACTAAAATTCTGCAGGCAGCATATACACACCCCTCCCGAAGCGCTTCGAATTTTGGAATCTAGGACAGTAAATAATGAGCCACCAGTAATATCCTTCCGCCACTTCAGGATTCTGCAACCTCACTGTCCACAAGTATCCTGCTTCCGATTTCCTGGCGAGTTACTATAGAATCAAATTGGAAAAAAAGAGCTCGTCAGCTCCAAACAGTGTTGGAAAAAAAACGTAAAACGATTCTTTTCCATCATAACAGCGATGAAATCGTTTTCGGTGACACATTTTTTTCATTAAAGGCATAGTCCACATTTTCAAAGCAATACATGCACACACATTAACCAGTTGACATCCGAGGTGTTAAACCCCCTTCCCATCCAGGCCATTTTTCAGTATTCAGCGCTGCGGTACTTTGACTGACACCCGCAAGAGGTTAATAAAAGGGGGAAAAAATGAATTTATTAATTTTTAGCATTGGAGCCTGCAAAGCATTGCAGCCACAGTCTGTGGATGGCAGATGAAATATTCAGGCCCCCTGAAGACTGTTTCTTCAGGCACCATTCACACCAGATGCGTTGGCATGCGTTTTTCATGGGATGACATGTATTTTGAGGGTGCATTCTCGTGTGAATGCACCCTCAGAAATGGAAGAAGTTATTAATGAACTACAGGTGAGGTGACGTCCTTGCACTTGTCATCCATTCAGATCTACAAGTCTCCCTACCATGCTGTTGGAAGGGACTTACAACTGTCTCTCTTTTGGAAACAAATTCCTATGTCCCTCTTTTCTCCTCAGTTGTCATTTTTGGACTGATGTATAGACCTCTGTAAAAAAAAGTGTTATACTACACTAAGGATGCATTCACACCAAGTTCGGAAGGAAACTTGGGAGGGTTGTTCCTTCCGATCCGTTGTGATACGGTTTTCAACGGATGCTAATGGAAGGGCCCCGAAAAATGAAATCATGTTCGAGCTACAAGCTTGAGCGACGAGCTGCAGGCGACATTGAGCTGTGAGATGTGAACAGCTCCATTGAAATGCATTGGACGAGCTACATTGAGCAAGATTGAGCTGATATTTGAGCGATTTTGGCGCTGAAATCGCTCAGTGTGAACGGGGTCTTAACCTTTCCTGCAGCCCCTACATTAGTGCATTTGTTATTTTAAAAGGCCACCATTTTGAAAGAGTAGTGATAAGAAAAAGCACTTGTGAGTTTAGCCAATCATGTTTTGCATATCAATTCTTAAGGTTCTTGTAACTAGGGGTATGTCCTATGCCTATACACTTTGAGCAAAATGGTGTCCCTCTTTCTTATCTCAAAAAAGTTGGGCGGTATGCTTGTAGTCTTTCCATTTACAGGTTCTGTGAATGAATGATATGGCTTTGGGGAAGAGACACACACACCTGTGCCAAATTCAAATCCAAACAAGATCCTGCGTATAGGTGCCCATACACTGCACGATTCTCGTACGAGAATCACGGGAAATCCCGCGATCGTACGAGAATCGTGCAGTGTATGGAAGGCGTGCGACCGTTTCTAATGTACGGTCTTATTTTCAGGGGATGTCTTATTTTTATTTTTTTAAGAAGATGGACAAGAAGGGGAGTGAAAAAAATACTGTCACACACAGGCGTGCGACCGTTTCTAATGTACGGTCGCACGACTTTTGTATATCGAGCATGTTGGAAAACCAGCCGAGAATCGTACGATTTTCTGCTGGTTTTTAACATGATAGAAAGATCAATGCCGAATGGGCCGTTGTGCGCACGCGCACACTGTCCATTCAGCATTGCAGTCATCGGAAGCCCGCCCCTCAGGGTGGCGGGCTTGTGATGATCGCAAGTACGATCTGCTTGTCCAAGATGGGCAGATCGTACGTTTTTTTAAGTACTTTACAACCCTCGCAAGACAAAAGTCTTGCGAGGGTTGTAGAGTGTATGGGCACCTTTAAGAAGAACCAGTGGCGTAACAATCACCATAGCGACCCAGGCGGCCGCTATGGGGCCCGAGGCACGGCGGGGCCCGGCCAGGACATCTCCCTGATGCCATGCGGGCCGCAGGTGTAATATTAAACATTGTCTAAAAGGAAGAGTTTGCTTTACAAAAAAAATAACCCTCTGTCTTCCTTTCAGACATCTGGCGTCCCTCTATTGCTCCAATGCAATCTGACCATACAATATTTGCACAATCAACTTTAGATTTAGCAAAACGATAGTATGTAATACAAAGACCTCCCAGAACAATCAGATTGTAACATGGTGAGCTTAACACCCTTCTACAACATGAACACCTACTACCGTGTTTCCCCGAAAATAAGACACGGTCTTATATTTTTTTTCCCCCCAAAAAAATCACACTGGGTCTTATTTTCAGAGGATGTCTTATTTTATTTTTTTTAAGAAGATGGACAAGAAGGGTAGTGAAAAAATACTGTCACACACAGTGTCACAGTACCTGCAGACTGCAGCTGTCCTGGAGCTCTCTTCTCAGCCGTCCAGGGAGCCACCTCTCTCGTCGCACAGACCTCCATTTAGAAGTTCCCTCAGTGATTGAGGCTCAGTCACCTCACCTGACCTCACTCCGGCCCCACTGGCCATGCTGCGCTGTGCCGCTGCCTGCTGGGAAATGTAGTTTTCTGCCCGGCGGCAGCAAAAGCCGAGGCAGACAGGTGTGCGGGCGGTAGGCATGCGGGAGCTGCGGCGCGGCGGTCAGTCCCCGCCGTGTATGCATGAAATGTTTTTGGCTCTTCTCCACTTTGCTGGCGCTGTTCCGCACAAGATGGCACCCTTCTCCACATTTGGTGGATATGCCCACAGATCGCATCCTTCTGGAATAAGATTTTTGAGATCTACCGACAGGTCACTGATTCTTCCCTTGCTCCCTCCCCTAAAATTGCCCTACTTTTTATCTTCCCAGGCCCAATCTCTCGGTATAAGAAGGACTTGCTGCGCTTCTTTGTCTCGTCAGCTCGTTCCCTTATCCCCAGACACTGAAACTCTACTAGTACACCAACAATTAAGGAATGGATCGGAGAAATGTGTCGCATTATGCACCTGGAGATGCTGACGGCCCACTTGCACGATAGACACGCAGCCTTTGACACCATCTGGACGCCCTGGCTTGGGTACATGGATACAGATCATTTCAAATCACTCTGAACACACAAGGTGATGATTCGCCCTCTCCTCCTCACCTTTGGAGTTCAAACGGAGGTAACTAATATCTGAGGTATTACCTGTTGCTTAATCTTTTCTCCTCTCTCTTTTGCTTCTACTTTGTCTCGTTTCTTTCTCTATTCCACTTCCTCCTTTCCCTCTTTCATTCTCACTCTCATCCCCTTTCCTCCCCCATCCTTCCCCCTTCCCCCTCCTACCTAGACATGAGGTTCAAGGGGACCTGATCACCTCTACAATTAGATGTACATCTGCAGCCGAGTCCCTGGGGAATAGCCCCCCTCATTTGACCTGATAAGACATTTCAACTGCATTGTAACACCTATGTAACAGGTCTTGTCCAACCGTTTATTTCCCCCTTGCTGGTACTTGTACTTGTTGTACTGTTTGTACTCGTAACAAATACTCTGTACTTGTTGTACGTAACACTTCAAAACAATAAAAACATTATTACTTTAAAAAAAATGTTTTGCGGTCCTTGACATGTTTTATACATGCAGACTCCAGGAGACCAGCTGCTCATATAATTGAACGTTACTCTCGGACCCCTGGCTGGCTGCTTGGATGCAGCAATACATGCGAGCCCCCTACCACCAAACTAGGTTTTATTTTCAGGGTAGGTCTTATATTACAGGAATCTCTAAAGATAGTGCTAGGTCTTACTTTCGGGGTAGGTCTTATTTTCGGGGAAACACCGCTTGGATAACACTTAGTTTACTAAAACTAAGTGTTAAAATGTATTATGTAAACATGTAATATGTAAACAAAAGGCATTTTTGAATATAAATACCACTTTTTCATTTCCAACATTTATTTTATCTTTTTCCCATCTGACTGCTGCTAGTCACCTGCAGCTTCTTTGTAGCCACTTCTAACCGCCCGGCGCCCGGAACTGTGCCGCCCCTCTGCTCAGTGCCGTCCCAAGGCCGGGCGCGGTGGCCTTGCCGGGAATCCGGCCCTGAGTCTACTTGAGGGGAGCATGTTACAGCCCAGATACTGTAGCAAGCAATTGAGCTGCAAGTTTGAAAATGACTTGTTAAACTATTGCAGACTTGCCAAGCTTCACAATTTTGTTGCACAATTGCAGCAAGTCTGCATTGCAAGTCTCCAGATCAGCGTGCTTTGCAAAAGTGCTGTACACTTGCAGAGCTCTTGCTAACACCTGCAGGGCATGCTGTAGACCTGCCCAGGAAATTTGCTACAAATTCAAAAAGTATCAACTAGAACTTGTGCTGCAATTGTTCTGCAAGTCTACAACTTGCCAGGAATGTGTGCAGCAAGTTAGAAAGAATTACAATTTAACCCTGACACAAGTTTGTGGCAAGTTATCCTTACTCTCTGGGAGGGTGACATTGCAGGAGCAGGTCTGTACTTTAGCAATATATTAATGCTGGTTTTTAGCTCTTTCCATTCCCTCTGTGACTGCAAGCTCCCAGTCTCTGCACCAAGTACCTATAGCTGTACAGGGCTGCCATCAGGGGGGTACGGCCGATACCCATTTAAGGTACCCAGGCAGCCTGGAGGGCCTGAACCCCTACCAGGGGCAGACTGACCTGACCAAAGCTGGGGAGGCCCACTGACAGGGGTGGAGAAGGCCGGGCTCCAGCAGCGCCGGTCCAGTGGTGGAGGAGGCCGGACCCAAGCAGCACCGGGCCAGTGGCTGAGGAGGCCGGGGCCCAGCAGCGCCGGTGCACTGTGCACTGTGTCCAGTGTCAGAGGTGGAAGACGCTGGGGCCCAGCAGCGGCAGGTAAGACAAGGTGTGTGTGCAGGGAAAGGGACCTCGACCAGCCCACCTCAGACCCTGCAGAGCCCACCATAGAGAGGGCAGATGGGCTGTGTAGGATCTATTGTGGGCTCTGCAGGGTCA